GGAGGAGGTTTAGGTACTGACTTGCCTGCCATGTTGCTTGAGACTACCTGATGTGCAACTGGAGCAGAAGCAGGTTTTTCCAAGCCAGCAGAGACAGAGGCGGATGATGTTCCTTCAACGGGAGGAGGAGGAGGAGGAGGAGGAGGAGGAGGAGGAGGAGGATGTGAAGTTGGTTTATCATTAGCCTGTGAAGAAGTTCCATGATGAGAAGGTAGGGGAGGCACGAAAGTATGTGGTGTTGGAGTTGAAAGCTCTGGAGCAGGTGATGGGGGAACTTCTGGAATCGAGCTTTCAGTTGTCAAAGATGGAACTTCCGCTACTGCTGTTGGTTTGAGAGTTGTTTCAGCATCACTTTCAGCAGCAGCAGCAGGAGGGAGAGGGGACAGAGGAGGAGAAGGAGATGCATGTGAAGTATCTTTTATGTGACTTGCTGAAGATGTCAATTGCTGTTCTGACGACTGGCTTTGTGATAATTCCGAAGAAATATTGGATCCAGAAGCTGAACTGGTTGGAAGAGGTGAAGCTAACATTGTTGTCTGAGTTACTGCAGAGCTATCAAATGCAACATGGTCATGAAGCGGAGTTATGACTCCAAGAGATGAAGGTGAACTATGATATCTAGAAACAGTTGCATCAGAGCCCGGCACTTGCGGAGAATCAGAAGAAAAGGCAGGAGTCGATGGAGATGCTGGAATTTGTTCTATCCGAGAAGGGCATTGTGCTGACATCTGCAGACCATCCAGTTCGACATTTTGGCTTTCCGTAATCGAATCAGAACCCTCATCAAGTGGAGCAGACTGCTCCTTGGGAGAAGAAAGTAACGATTTCTTGTTTCCATCATCATCGGTTTCTCCCAACTGGAGTTCCTCACGAAGCACATCATAGCTCGTCCTTTTCAGCTTAACATCAGCGTCGAACTTTTGCGGAGACATTGCGTCCAACTTCTCTTGCAAGTTCTTGGACGAAGATATCTGCTGAAGAACTTTCGTGGCAGCATCCACATTTGTTTCCAGCCAATCCCAATTGTTGAACAGTTCTTGCACTTTGGCAAATGCTTCAATTGGAAGGCCATCTTTTTCCTCACCACTCGTCAATTCTGAAGATATAAGTGGATCAGCCGCATCCATCTCTGAAAGAAGAACCTTTTCACCGAAAACTAAAGTCAGCATCAGGACAAATCTGGTTCTTCCGATTCATCGAAGAACAGGGCAAAGAACATACCTCGACCCTGAAATCTTTAGGAAACCGATCTTTGGCGTCCCACAAGATGTCAATGGCATCACGATCTAGCATCAAAATGTTAGACCTGATGAAGGCTGTATTGAACATGACCCTGAACATCATCACTTCCCGGATTAGATCTTCATCCAAGCTGATGCACTCAAGTACGATATCTCCTTGAATATGGCAATGAATGTCGATCTTGACTAGTTCACAGTCTTCCTGCAATTTGTGAACAGAAGCACATGGCATTACACTCCATAACATTGTATCACTCGATTGGAAAAAAAGGTCTGCATTCACCACATTCTAAGCTTTCCAGAGAAACATTCATTTCGATTTTTAAGAGAAGATTACATTTAGAGAGGAAAAAGATCATTTACCTGTTTGAAAAACCGAACCAGTTTGCTTTTCTTTGGTGTTGAGAATAGAACTTTCGGAGTCTGATCAGAAGCAATGAAGGGATCCTGGCCATAAATTCGAAATATTGGCCTGCATCCACCTGTTCCATTGAGGTCAGGAATGAACCTAAGGATTATACAGTCCAAAGTAAGAGCTCGATCAAGCGGAGGCCATTCCATGGCCACATTTCTCCTTGATATATAATGCAGGTATCTCAGTTGGGAAGGCAGCGGATTCAGCGGCGACAGCAGCTGCAACAGCTCACGGGGGGCCTGCTTGTAGATCATGTCCAGTGTCCTCTGCTCGCCTGTGTACTGCTTGTGGTATACCAGAAGCGCCGCCAACATGAAAGCTAGGACCGGCCATCCTCCTCGATCGCAGTGCATCAGCAAGAGGTTCTGCTGACCCAACGAGAGCCAGCTCTCGCCTGACCTCAAGAAATGGTGGATCATTTCCATTGTGAGCAGCGGGCATCCTTCATACTGCCGTGGGTAGTCCATCACAAGCATGTCATACTCTGACAAGACGCTAGAAATCTGGCTTTGGCTCTCCCCCTCTCGGAAGTTGAACACCATGAAGGAGGCATCAGGGTACTGTTCGTGGAGCTGTGACACAATGCCTCCCATGTACACCCTGTATTCTTTTTCTTCCAAGATATCAGTCGTGAAACAGCAATCGAACACTGCAACCATTTTATAGAAGCTGAATCATGCAAACTGGAAACTAAATCCTCTATTTCATCGAGGCATTCAGATCTATAGGTTTTTCCATAGAAACTATTAAATCTATTTCATCGAGCAGATGGCTATTGGATCTTTCTACCACATGTTATAGTAACCACCCCAATCAAAATTTAGGCAAAACGAAGCGCAGATGAACTATTAGCTATAAGTGGGCGGATTCAAGCCCATTGCAGTTATGCATTTGGTGCAAACGGGTGCACCTCCCGATTAGTATTTGACGAATAGTTACAAGTACGAAAAAAGTTCGATATTTGATCTCGAAGCGCCAAATCGCAGGAAAATCACACAAACTAACATCAAAAAGTCCAGAAAAATCACTCGATTTCGCAGCGTTATTGAAGAAAAGAAGGGTTTGGAGAGATCAGAAGCATACCATAGACTCTTTCGGAAATCTCCAGAAGCCCATCGGGTGGCTTGCGGTAAAAGAACTTGCGAAACATCGCCATCGTCAAGATCCAGACGAATCAAACAAAAACGCCAACGCAATTAACCAGGCGGGCAAAATCAAGAAACCTTACGAGGAAGGGTCTCGGAAACATTGGAACGACCGGGGGAAAGGAGGAAAGGCGCATGAAAGCCCTCTCTTCCGAGCTGATATTGTGTGGATTCGAGAACAGACGATGGATTTCGTTGCAACATTAAGGAATCGCATGCGCTTCTTCTTCCATGTTCCTCTTATTGTGATCCCTCCTCGTGGCGGACACGGAGGAAACAGGAGAAGACGATCTTTTGCGACTGATCAGCGTCTAAAAATCACATTTTAAGAGAAAGAATGCGTTGTTAGACTAAAAGGAATGGGGAAGATGGTGAGATCTAGGATTCAGCAAACCGCCTCCTCTGTCCCTTTCTTTTGCCTTGGCTCGAGGACGACGTGTGGAATTCTTCCTGCTTGCTCTCATGCTGACGATATTTGCACGCCCTATTTTTCGTCTCCACCCTTTTTTTTTAATTTTTTATTGGCTTTCACCGTTAAATATAAAATATAATTATTTTTCGTGTATTGTATACTCGTATTTATATCACGAGAAAGGCTTTGACCAAATAATCATATGTATTTTGAGTGCCACAAAGGGAAAACTGTGGTTTTCTGAACAATTGAACCTATTCTTCCATGATATAATGTCAAATAAGCTTGAAATTTTACAAAATAGAATATCAAAATCTAAATATCGATATTAATAATCAAAATATCAATAGATAAACTTAATTTTTGGGGATTGGGAGATCAAGTGCATAAGTATACACGTACACGTGGAACTGTGTTGTCGACACGTGATAAAAAACGGGGGTGGGTTTAGAAACCGTCTCTATTCGTTGCCTTCACGAGGGAGTGAACTGACCTGGTCGTTACGGCACGTGTGCCGCTCGTGCGGCGACAGAAGTGGCCCCCCTCCTAAGATTAATTCTACTAATATGCGAACATAACGTGACTGAGTAAGTGATAAGTAGATAGGATTATTCCTATAATTAAGATTAAGATTTTTAACGGTCATGTTACCACGCTCAATACATGTTAATACTTAATTTCTAATTGTGATAGCTCTAAACCATGATGTGGTGGAGGGCTTGAATGTAACTAATATTAGATCAATCTTAATATAATTGTTAAATCATCGTGAGCTCGGTTGATTCACTATCGAAAGTGTGGATTCCTGATGATTCCTTTTGGTTGACGTGGAGAGCAGGCATTTCGGGAAGGTTAAAGAATTATGTAGGGAGAGACAGTTCACCAGGAGCAGCTTAGTATTCGAACAATGAAGCTTCGTTAGGGAGCTGGGCGGTCTCCTATGCTGGGTAGCCTCCTGGCCATACCTCCGAGCTCCATTGATGATCCTACATAATAGGCCTACGTCGAGGGTGTCCCAACTCGATCCCTTTAATACTTAAGTCATGAAAACGAAGAGGGAGAAAGACAACAGTATCAGCAGCATAAATGAGGAAGTAAAGAGCATTTTTCGTTTGCTTGTCATGGGTCTTGGCTTTTATACTTGGGCGCAATGACACGGACAAACTTCTAAACATGATGTTTGATGTAATACTTATGTATGTCCGTGTCTTTTGGTATGTTCATACTTTGTACAACATGTAGAGGGACGACCGAAGGCTTAATAGTCCCATTTTAGTTAGGTTGGTGACCGCTTTATGCTTGTAAATAAAGGTTGTGTCATGTGGACACGTGTGAGAGATTTTTGATCTATAATGGACCATTTTACCCTTTGTTGTGTAACTGTTCAGAACTTGTAAAGTCTGTTTGTAATTTACATTGTCTATGAAGTGTTTTCGAAAATGTTTATTTGTGGATCCCGAATAAGGCGTTTTCTCTAACCCGTTCTCTCTTTTGTGGGTCCTAAGGGACATGAGAAGCTTCGGGGAGGCTGACCTTTGTGGACGGACACACAAGGGTGCCACACGACTTAGGCAAAACCAGCTAAGTCCGTGACAGTTGGGTGGAGCAAACAGGTCTTCGTCAAGGCCCCCCTTACCTTAGGTGGAGGAGGTATTTAATACGTGTAGCTTGTCGACATGTGCCCCTAGGAGTGACGCTTGGGGACTATCAAGGTGACGCCTCCGATCTGGCTTCCTCGCTTCTTTAGGTCAAGTAAGGCATGGTCCCTATATCATCCATCTGAAAGAGAAGGTTGGTGAGGTTGAGCTATGTTGCTGACCATTAATGCAGAGTTAGATTCTCTTTCCAAGATGTGGGATCAGTGAGGAGCAGGTCTCGCAGGCCCATTTCGGAAAGCTGAGGTAGGCGTCATGACCTTTTGTTGACGATTGTAGGGAGTAAGTGGTTCCTAAGCTTTTGCTTAGGTATTGCTTATGTGGCGGGGGAAGCTGGGGAGTGCTAGGATTATCTCTATCATTCGTCCTCTTGAAAAGGCATTCTTCGAAGCATCGAATGAAGGTCTTAAAGGACATCGCTTTCCCTGCATGGTGATATGAATGTTGTTTAGCTTCGAGTTTATTACTAGTGCTAGTCATAGGCATCCTATAAGCCAATCACATAAGTGATGATATGTGTGACATACTACATAATTTTTTTGTTTATTATTATTATTGGTATTTTTTTCACTTTCTAATGCATGCTTGATATATTATGATGTCGTTGGATCTGCGTAATTAGAATTAGATCATAATAATGAGACCAATTCGTATATAAACACAAACCCTAAACATTCTTGATCATAGGTTACTCAAAGGGGATATCGAGATAACCGAATAGACCATTGTACTATATACCTTTCCATATGATGAAGGCAGTTGATTTCATAGCTACTTGTATGGAGGCACTATGGATATAGTGTAGATGCTCATTAGAGAATGAGTTCACTAAATGATTTACTCATTGAATGCTGGATGGTTAATAATATATTATTGTTAGACATCAATTTCGTAATCCTAGTTGTGTGTTTGGCCTTAGACTTAAGACACCAAGGATATCATGTATGAGTACTATACTCTTTGATACCAGACTTATATGTCTAGAAGTTCTAGATCTAGCACAACCGGTCATCAAGAGTGGTAACCAACCTTACGAGGGTGATTGAGTATTGATAAAGAATCATCTGCTCTTGGTATCATGAGAGGAATGTCCAATGTGTTCTTGCTTAAGCAAATCCTTGGCTATGGTTATTCAAATTGAGAGAGAAAAGAATTCTCTGGAAGAATCTAATTAGAGAGAGGCTCGAGTAGATTCTATATGAGCTTGACAATACCATTCCCGATATATAGTCTCTAGGATATTAGATGGATAAGGGACTATAGATACATGGTAATTAAGGGCAGATAGGTCCAATGGATTGGATCTCCCTATATCGTTTAAGGACTATGGAGTAGTGGCCTAGCACGTCCATAGTCGATGAGTTGAGTGAGTTATTATAGAGATAATAATTCATTGAGTCAGAAGGAGTTCTGATAGGTGTGACTCACCTCTAGCTCGATATTGGGCTCAGAGGGTCAGATATATGGTAGATGTTGCGACAAGTAGATGTTTAGATATGAGATATCTGTCGAGCCTAGTATGTCCATAGTCGATGAGTCGAGTGAATTATTATGGAGATAATAATTTATTGAGTCAGAGGGAGTTCTGATAGGTGCGACTCACGGCCAACTCAATATTAGGCTTAGAGGGTCACACACATATGGTAGATGTTGTGACGAGTAGAGGTTTGAATGTGAGATATCTGTCGAGCCCTTATTTTATTGAATATTCAATGAGCCCCTGTTTTATTGAATATTTAATAAGCCCTTGTATTATTAGATCTTTTGGATGAGACCCAATAAGAGCAAATAATGATTATTGGATAGAGATACATTAATCTAAGAGGCTAGGGTAGTTGGATAAAGACTATTAATCCAAGAGGCTATGATAGTTGGATAAAGATCAAGTACTCAATAGAGCAGGATCCATTATGATTAAGTTGACAATGGCATCTATAAATAGGAGAGAACCAAAGGGGTCATAGGCTAGACTTAATTGGCTACCACCTCCTATTCTCCTTCTTAGCCGACAACCCTCTTGGTGGTGCAAGATGATAGCAAGAAGGGGCCAACCCTTCTTGATCACTACTAGCGTGTAGACTACGAGGATTCACGCTGCAAAAGGAGCATCGCTCCCTCATCTACTGTGTAAATCACTGCTAGAGAGGAGAACATTTGACATCCTTCATCTACAAATTTGGATTTATGTTTTCGGGGATATACGATCTCCCCTAGGAAAAACATCTCACACATGTTACATGGTTTTTTGGTTTTGTAGTTTTTCACGAACTAACCATCACACAATGGCCAAATATTATTCTTTGGGAAACTAGTTTTGTTTGTTATTCTTCTCCTACGCATGTGCCCAAGGTTTCCCAACAGTGGTATCAGAGCTGGGTTCATCGTGCGATGATTAGCTATAAACTATATATTGTGATGAATCACGTAGAATTATTTTATACATAGTTGCTGTAATTTTTTTCGTAGTTATTAATTCTAGAAAACACTTCTTCTCACTATTGAAAGATGCTTTAGATTGATGTTTTATCGTCAAAATATTAGTGCAAGACATAGGACGAAGGGCAACAATTGTTGCTGCCCTACAAGTTGGCTAAAGGCTGCTTGCAGCCTTGGCGAGAGCAAGGGATGGTGCTCTTGGACTGGCTGTGAGCCACCATGCGGTCAAGGAGCCTTGGCCACATGGGGAACCCTAGTGGCTAGGGTTTTCTAGCCAATTGTGGTGATTGTACGACCAGAGATTCTTGGCCGTAAGGGGTAAGTTGGTGGCTAGGATTCTTTTTCGCCCATGGATAGCCTTGTAGCCAAGGAATCCTGGCTGTAAGGGAGACCTTGGTGGCTAGGGTTTCCTAGCCACGTAAGGCAGCCCTATGACTAAGGATTTCTAGCTAGACGGTGGGTGTGAACTGAATTAGTGCTTGACTTGAAAGCGTGTTTGTAAGCATAGTGAAAGTAATAAGTAAGAAATCAGTTTGCAATATAAATGAAAAGTATAAAAGAAATGCAAACCAAGTTTTATAGTGGTTCAGTCGTCGTGACCTACATCCACTCCCGATTCCTCTTCACTCGAGGCCATCGACTTCCACTATCGATCTTCTTTCAACGGGTGAAGATCAACTACCCTTACAACTCTTTCTCCTTTTTACATGCTCAGGAGAGAACTTTTACACCTCTCTCATTTAGACCTAGACCTCACTTCTCGCTTTAGAAGAACTTTCTAAATACTATGAAGGAGTAACTCTACTCTTCAAGAGAGATTACAATTCTTTTTCATAAGGATTCTTTCCCCCCTTTCAACTCATTTTCTTGCAT